TGGTTTGGATGCATTTTAGGAAAAGATGTGTTGAAAGTTTCGGACAGAAATTTTTTGTTTGAGATATGTTGAAAAGCAGCTGAAATAATACTAGTTTGAATTTTGTGCCAAGTGGCCTCAAGTGATTCTGTAGTATTAGTTGTAGAAAGAACATTGTTGTTATGAAGATTAGATGTAACTTGGTCAGTAAAGTTTTGCCAAAGGTCTTGGTTCATTTGTTTATAAGCAAATATTCTATGCTTAGTTTTGGTTGCTAATCATCATTTCTCAGTAATGGCATAAGAAAATTCCCAGAATGATATCAGTATATTATGGTCACTAAGTGTACATTGGTTAACATCATCTGTATAGTATGAGATTAGGTATAGGATAATAGCATGGTTAGCCCAAATATAGTCAATACAACTGCTATATCTGCTACTATGCCATATAGGAATTAAGAATTGTTTGTGTTTTGCTAAATTGTACATGTTATTGTATTAAATAAAATGAATAAGTTTAAGTTTGATAGAAGATGATTGTAAATTGTCAGAGACATTGAAGTCACTCATGACAATTGGTTGTATATTGTTTGTATTTGCTTCTTGGATCTTTTGTATAATATTGTTTTGGATAAGAAGTCTAAGTTGAAGGTTATTACAAGGTATATAGACTGATATAATACAGAATTTAAAGTTATATTTAAAGAAGAGGTCAATTGCAATAGCATATCCAGGAAAGTTAAGTGTTTTATGAACATATAGTTTGAGATGTTTTTGGATCATAATTGCTGTTCCGGCTTTACAATTATCAGTACATGACCAATAATAAATAAAGTGTTAGGATCTAGGAAATTTAGCATGTGCATTGTTCTGTGAAATTTTAGTATCCGTAATGCTAGCAATATTGATGTTATGAGATATACAACAATTCTCCCATGTTTGTTGTTTTAGGTTATCATTATATCCTTGTGTATTATATGTACATATTGACAAATAAAGTGGTTTATATAAGTTAGATGTAGGTGTTTGAGCTATTAGGTTGAAAGACATTGGTTCAGAAATGGTCTCAGACCAGGAAACTGTATGGTTAGATGCAAAAGTAGATGGTAAATTAGTAGGTAATGATGCTGAAGATGAGTTAGCAAGGAACAGTTAATCAAATGAAGATGAGTAGATGTTAGATGAGGTATTGTTTGGTGTTGTTAGTAAAGGTAAGTACTTGTATAGTTTATATTAAAAAGGTTGGATGAGATTATGTTCAGGCAGAATAAAATCTGAAGAGTTAGTATATATTTGTAGCTTAGTTTTGTTATAATTAATAGATATATTAAAGCTATGTTTGAAGAAATGTTTTCGAAGGTAGAATAGAAATTCACCAAATGTTATATAGTGGTATATAATAGGTAGGTTGTATAGTAATAGAAATTTGTTGTAACATGTATTTGTTCCTGCAAGAGATGAAGTGTTGGAAACAGGAACATGAAAGGTTGGATTGTCTTCTACAGGGTCATTCACTGTTTGAAGCTTAGCTTGCACAGCTGTGAAAGGTACCATAGTCTGCCCTATATATTGGGTCTAATCATCATTAACTTGGCCCTTCATGTAAATGGGCTTTACCACCTGCCCACTTGCATTATTTTTCTTATCAACTACTATAGATGTTTCTTTTGATAAGATGGCAACTGCTTCTATGAGTTTTGTAGAAGACAGTTTACTGAAAAAAAGCTTCTTTAAAGAAGAGAGTCTTTTCAATTAAAGATAGAGTTGTATATGTCATTTTGAATTTATCTTGTAGCAGTTTATCTGCTTCTGGATAAGCTATTTCTTTGAAAATTTTGTTGGTTTGAGGATAAGTAAGAGACTTATCTTGAGAGTTATAAAATGTCAAAACTCTTGCAAGAAAGTCAGTACTAATAGGTCTGGATGCAAGAAGATCTATTGCTTGTTGTTTGTTGAGTTTGTCAATATTATGGTTTTGTGCTACAGTATTTTGGTAAAGATTGAGATATAAATAAAAATAATAACTGCAATATTTAGGATTAGTTTGAATATTATTAATTTTGCAAGCAGAATTTTTAGCTTCAGTTGCAAGTTGGTCAAGAAGAGAGGTTGGAATCTCTTTGTTAAAGGTTGCTTCATATTTACTATTTTTGTAAAATATATAAGAACTAATATTTGATTGTTTCCAAATTTCATTTTCCTGTTTAGAAAAATCAATAAAGGATTTTTTAAAAATGTTATTTAAAAGTTTTAAGGAATTATGCTAATATTGGGACTTTTTGGAAGGAGTTTGGATTTCTTTTTATTTTTCTTTATTTTTGGGTTCAACTTTTTTTAAATAAGAGCAAGTTGCATCTGTACAAGTAAGTATATGATAATTGACTTGTTTAATTGTGTTGTTACAATGTTCTTATAGGTTGTTAGGTTTTTCAAATTGTAAATTAGTAGTTATAGTTTCTTTGAAATGTAGGATAAATTGTTGTCAGAATTGAAATTTAAGGGAGTTAAAAACTTTAGTTTCATCAAGAGGCTTAGTAAATTGTTGATTATATAGAGAGAAGAATTGTTTAAACTATTGTTTAAAATGGTCTAGTGAGTTTTTGAGAGATGGAATATTTAATTTTTGAAGAAAGAGTGTTTTAGAAATATTAAATTTAAGGTAAATATTAAATTTGCTATCTGATTTGATTGTGAGATATTGTTTATCTTGATCAATATCAGTTACTTCTGATTTGATTGTAAATCTTTTAGGTCAAAGTTTGAAGTCTTCAGCAAATTTAACATAATCAATTGCCTGATAATTATTAAAGAGATATAAATAAATATATGCAAGATTAATACAAAGTTGTAATCTGTTTTGGTTTGTATAAGGTGGAATAGTTGCAGATAAGACAAAGATTTTTGAATAGTTGAGTTTTGTAAAAAGGACTGTAGTAAAAGTTAGAATTAGTTTTTTAAGAGTTTCTTTGAGTATATCAAAAAGAATAGTAATTGCTTTATCTGTGTTAGAATTATTTTGTTGAATAAATTTAACAAGAAATTCAGGTTACTTCTAGCTATTATATGAATAATATGATAAAAGCTAAATTTAAGTGCTTTGCAGTTATCAGTTTCGGGTTTGATTTCTGTGTCAGAATAGAAGTAATATAAGTGTTGTTTAAGAAGATTGAACATTTTTCTAGAGAAATCTGTTTCAAGTTGGGTTTTGGATTTTATAACTTTACAAATAGGAAAGTTAGTAAGCCAGTCGAATGTTGGATTAGCTTTAATATTATTTTGGTTATTAGAGATATTAAATTGTTGTTTATTTAGAGATTGTTTTTGTTGTTGTGTTTCTAATTGCATTTGTTTAAGTTATTTTTGTTGTTGTTTATCTAGAGGTTGTTTTTATTGTTGTGTTTCTAATTGCATTTGTTTAAGTTGTTTTTGTTGTTGTTGTTGGTGTTGATTGTTTTGTTGTTGCTGTTGTTGTTGTTGATTTTGGTTATTAGATAAGCTGTTGTCGATGTCCATGTTGTCATTAGTATTGTTTGTGTTTTTTTCTGTTGAGGTTAAAGAATTAAGTTGAAATGATAGTAGGTTTCTGTATTTAGAAAATGATTGTTAAATTTTTTGGATAAGAGTAGTGTGTAGACTCTGTTGTGATGTAGAGATGCCTTGTTGAGGTGTAGAAGTACTTTGTTAGTTATTGAATTAAAGTTGAGTGCATGATTTATGTTGAGGTTTGTCATTAAATAGAATTGAGTTAGGTGCTAAGTAATATTGGTTATTAGTTACTTTGCAATTAATAGGTAAATTGCATACAGCACATGTATGTTGATGCGTAATAGGTGAAGAAGATAAGCTAGGTAATGGTGGAATAAATTTTGTAGAATTTATAATATTGTGTACAAGAGATTTTTTATCTTTAGTTTTTTTAATTACATTAATTGCTTCATTTTTATTATATGTTTGGTTTGTTGCTAAAATGAAGTATGTATGAAATTTTCTACAGAAACAACTAACAATAAAACTTGTTGTTGGTGACTTGAAGAAGTGACTAGTTTTAATAGCACTTCTGAGTTCAGTTATTATACAGCTACTAGGTTGTTTGTTAGAAGGAATAAGATGTGATACATTTATGTTATCTTTATGAATTCCAATACCAAAACTTTTAGAACATTTTTGGTAAAAGTAGTCAAGGTTGATAGTATTAGGTGTAACTGTTAACAAGGTAGGCATCTTGTGTAACTATGTGTACTAAATAATTTTGTAAAGTTAAAATTTGTTAAAATATTTGTAAAACTAAGTTTTTTAGAAAAATTTGTTAGATTTAAAGGTTTCTAGACTGTTTAGGAAGGATCTGAAAAATGTTGAACTATTGGGAAAGGTAATTGGATATTTAGGAAATTTTAATAGGTGCCAAAAAAGTGAAATTTCCAGGGCAACCCAACAAGTTTTCCTAAAATTGCCTTTAAAAAATCCTGCAAAAACAGGTTTTGGCTTTGCCTTTTTGATGATATCTCTATAAGTTTTATTCGTTTTTGATCAAATATATATTAAAATGTTTGTATCGGTGAGCTGAACAAAGTATTACTAAGATAGAAGGTATATTTAATTAGTAAAATTTCAAGAAAATAAGCAAAAACCAAAATTTTGGTTTTTGTAAGTTTCTTAGCAGCCAGATGTTGTTGGAACTTAAAACCTTGCCGCCTAGAAGCAGAAAAGTGTTCTGAACAAGTTTACTTAAGAGCAAAAGTAAGGTTAACTTAATAAAATAATTAGAAATAATTAAATGTTTTTAGCAAAAATTTGGTATAAGTGATCTGCAGAAAAAGTCACTAAAAAATCATTATTTCTTATTGTACATTACACATTTTACATTAACAAATACAGATCTACTTTAAAGAAAAAGAGCATATTCAGGAATTGGAACTAAGATAAGTATTAAGTATATAATAAATGATATTCATATATATATCTTTTGAGATAACTACATCTATTAATAGATTCTATAGGCAATATGTAATATACTTTAAATCAAATTTCTGTCACATCTGAAGATTCATGACATGTTCTACTATTGTGACTGGTTTTTTTACATACTTCACATTTTCTGCCACTTAGCCTAGCTTCTTCTAACTCAAAAGCTGATAGGTTTCTTTTAGTAGAGGCTTGAGTCTTGTTACTCTTGTTTTGTGAACCAACTGGCCATCCTCGAGTCTGTTGCACAATTGGGTCTGACAAAAGCATAGATGGTTCTTTAATTATTTTTATAAGCTTATTTTGAGCCACCATTTGTTGAGGAATTGATCAAGAGTTATATTCTTAAGTGAATTCTTGAAATAGTGGTGTTAATGAATGCTCTATTGCTCTAAATTGCTTTGTAGTGGTAATTCAAGACCTTTGATCCACCAATGATGATAAATATCGTCAATGCTTAGTACCTGATTTGTAGCAAGACATTCTTGAATAATATATGCATATGGAAGATCCATATATTTATTGAAAACACCATTACAGGGTTCAAAAGGGTTATTTGATATTGCACAAGAGGCTTTAAGGTATTGTTTATGAATTTGTTTTAAAGCAAATAAAGAAATCTTAGAAACTAATCAGCTATAGAAAAGAATATTTTGTGCATGAGAGATACAGGTTTTATCCTTGGATATCATTGCTTTAATTTCATTGTATTGGTTTTTTAGTAATAATAAAATTTTTTCATACACAATATATAAATTACCAGTAGAAACTTGTAAATATTTCTTTAAAGTCACATGGGCATCTTTTATCCGAGACATTGCTGTATTACCCAAATGAAGATAGGAGTCAATCCAAGTGCTAACAAATTGAGTTTTGAAAGGTAACCATGTATCATTAAGATAGCTAATTAATGGATTTTCATTATATTGAGTACATAACTTTGTCTATTGAGTTTCAAAATCACTCTCTGTCCTTGACTTTACTAAATTCATCCAACAATTAAAAAAGGTAATCAACTCTTTCTTTGTAGAAAAATGTCTTTTACATCTTGCTAAAACATTTTTCACTATATGCTATTCACAAAGAATATTTTTTGTTCCTAGAAATATATTTTTAATCGCATTTATAAGTGCTAACTCCTGGTCTGTTATAATAACTTTAGGTTTTTTCATTCTATTAAATAAAGAAGATATATGATTTAACACCCATATATAATTCCTCTTTTTTTTTATCTTTAAGGAATATGAAGCATACAAAAAACATTGTATTGGAGCTTGTTATATCAACAACATTAAGAAGTGGCATTTTGAATTTATTGGTTTTATATGTAAAATTCATGAATAATACAGAAGAGTATATATTTACCAACTCAATAGATCTATAATGAGAGAAAAATAGATGTGTTATATGACCTTCAGTATCAAGCTAGTAATCATACTCAAATTGATCCTTTCTAAGTTCTTCTATAAGTGCTTAGATTGGTGTATAACCTCTCAAATTTTCTAACTGAATTTTTTTGCAAATATTATAGATATCTTGTAATGTTATTAAAATTGATGAGTTATTTTGGTGAAGTAAAAATAAAATTTTATGTAGATATACCAAAAATTGATATCTCTTTTACTTATACTCTTTCCTGTTCATTAGGTCTTAAAAGAGATGGGTGAGCTGACATGTTATCAGAAGGATCATGATTATGAGTTGGATCAGTGACAGATAAAGTCCATACATCATTATTTCCCTTAACACCACAAACTGAGAAGGGACAACCAATTAATCTAGAACCCGTATTTCTCTGACGTGTTTTATCTGTTAAGTTCATATGATTTCTATATATCCACCTCAATCACAACCAATATATACTTTATTTTTCTTTAATTTTGTAATAGACATACCATAACTATTAGAAGTGCCAAATGTTTGTATATGATTTATTAATGAATCTCAGTCTGAAAATTTACCAACAGGAGGTGCAGATATAAACATCTTGTTATATTGTTTTTTAGCAAAAAAAAAAACTTTCAAGATTTTTTAAATGATAGGTATATATATCTTAATATATAAATGTGTATGTTTACTGTGTAGTATTTATTGGTATGTATATTTCAGTTCAAATAGATGTGTTGTTGAACTTTTTATATATATATTTTTTTTGGTATTAAGGTGACCTCTTTGGTTTTTTGACTTTTTATTAATTACTTATCAATATTGTGGTTTAATGAACCACTACAAGAGAGTGTACAATTGGCTACACATGTACTTTTTTATATTACCTATTTAAGGAGTCTGCCTGAAGGTTCTCCACCAATTGCCATATCTAACACTCCTGCTTGGGTGTTCTACTTTAAACCTTCTGAACCTGTAATCTGTATTAACATCACTAGTCATCTCAAATGTACCAGATTATCATCTTCAACCTTAGGACTAATTTATCTTTGAGGTAAACTCCCCAGAGCCTTCTGTACCCATTTTTACAACTGACCTAAGTATCACTATGGCAGAACTAACACTTGTGATCAGGGCTAACCATTAAACTGCTATGCTCTTGTAGAGTTTACTTAGA